ATTTTCATTTATATAGTGCTCTACGAACACAAATTAGTTAGCATAAATCAGTTAAATGACGAAAAATTAGGTTATATTTACTTTTGACCACGCTGTGTAAATCTCAGTATCAATAAAATATTAGATGAGATTTTGCATTAAGCTGAAACTATCAAACATAATCTCAACTATTTCTTTAAAAAGAAATGAAAAATATTGTTATAAATTATTTCAGAATGAATATGAACATCATATAAAAAGATCAATACCTAAAGATTATGACAAACGCTTTTCTTCATGTGAACTACTTTGATGTAACCTGGATTTAAAGGTGTTTTAACGAGATTTTTCGCTATTTTTTTAGTGATCTTGATGAAGGCGTAAGAATTCTAGAAGAAAGACTTCGAAGAAAATTGAAGAATGTTAGCTTTTGTGATGTATTTGATTCAATTCCTCTAAATTACAAAGAAGCTCCTTTTGACGTCATTATTACGTCACTCTGTCTTGAATTTGCAGCTTGTGATTGGTCGAGCTATGTTCAAGCGCTGAAAAACATCGCTGCCCTATTACGTGTTGGTGGAGGAATAATAATGGTAGGCGCTCTAAATAATACGTTTTATTATGTTAATGACGAGATTTTTCCTTCTTTAAAGTTGGATCAACCAATGATTCAAAAGGCAATGACGTTGGCAGGATTCCAGGGTTTCGAATGGAAGATTCTAGAACGACAAGTGATAGAAGGAAAACCAACGGACCATGATGGTTGCTTTTGCGTTAGTGCTATAAAAATGTAGTTTAATTAAATTAAAATAATCTATAAAGATATTAATGTATTAATGTACTTCTGCTTAACTAAAATCTTTTGTGAAATTTTCTCACAAAAGCTCAGTTCAGTAACTGAGATGTGTGCTTAATTCCTTGAAATTGATGTCAATAAAATGCTTGTTGTCTGCTTCAATTTCCTGACTAAAACATCATTTTCTAAGGAATTCTAGAAATCATTGTCAATAAGGTGCTTGTTGTGCTTCAATTTCTTGGCCCCCCAGTGGTTCAGCGGTATGTCTGTGGACTTACAATGCTAGAAACTGGGTTTTGATACTAGTGGTACGCAGAGAGCCCGTTGTGTAGCTTTGTACTTAATTACAAACAAACAAATCAATTTCTTGACCAAAACATTATTTCCTAAAGACATTATAAATCTCTTCCCTGTTAACAGAAATTACTATTGCTAAAGAAGAGATTTCGGTCATATTTTCAGCTTTTAGGGTGAACTTAATATAAATTTGGGGCGCTATTTAGAAATATATATATAATCTTTAGAATAAAGTAACATATATATATTGTTACGTCTCCGTTCGTTAGATAATTTTCCGTAAATTCGTTCCGACGAAACTTTAGCGACACAAGTCCTTTC